GAACGTCGAATTTCAACGGTTTATGCTTTACTGTCGTTTGGTAGTAACCGAAAGCTGGGGTCCTATCACGAACTTTATAAGAAAGTTTGGCATGGCGTCATGAGTGGCTGAGATAAAACTAAAACTTGAAATTATACTAATTAAAATCTAGTGCTGTCAAAACCCACCCAACTTAAGTTGATAAATTTTGTACGACGCAACTTGCTGCCTGTTATATCAGAACTACGCACTGCCGATGCTACTGGGTTCATAGCGAAACGCCTTAGCAATATACTACTTGGCATTTGTATGGCTTGGTGCTCTCACCCCGAGTCGGGGAACAATCTGCGATTTCAACAACGGGCCCAGGGTCGTTAAATTTATGCTGTACTCAAACTTTCACTCTAATTATAGTGCCTAGTTCACCTGAAAACTTCTCTCTTAAGATTAACACATTAGTGTCACTACACACTATATTACAACATAGAAATGGAACGGTAAAAACAAAGCAAATAACTCGTTAATCTCAATCGGCATGAAACAATAAATACAAGTAAAATGAGCAAGACAATCAGTCGGTTCGTTAAAAACCGTCGTTAGACTGGGATTTAATTTTTCTAATTATAATGATTCCGTTTCTAATCATTTTAATTTTGAGTTCTAATATGCACACGAATCACATAATCACGAAGGTTTGCTACCTTTTTAGGGTCTATTTTGACGTCATATTCGGCCGCGCAGAACAGCAAATTCTCTGGTTTAAGGTCAGTATGCGTAAGATGATTTTCATGCATGACTAAAAACACATGCTTATTGAAAAACAACAAAATCCAAGTACACCAACTGACAGTTGACCGAATAACACAGCTGATAGGCGATGTGCCTCACTTGCTCCAGCGGATATGGATGGTAGTTGTTCGCTTTCATGAAATCGAACACGCTTAATCCAAGCAGATTAAAGGCGAGGCACATGTGACCATGGTAGTCAAACGAATCCAGTAACTGAACGCAAAGGCTGAAAGTCAAACAAAAATAAATAAAAAGGCAACAACAAAATGTAAGAACTGGCAGACAAAGTTAAGAAAGGATTTAGCAACAGATTCACGGTTCAACAATTAAGAAGTTATTAATTGTTGAACCGTGAATTAAGTTCAAGAAATTATTTGGAGTTAATGACCGTTTATAAAGAAGTGAAAAAATCCAAGGACCGTACTTAGAAACGGATATTTTGGTTAAGAGAGATATTGCCTCTCGTTTGAGACGTTAAACTGAAGCGACCAAGCTTAAAACTGCTTAAAATGAATTTGAAAACTCCCAATTAGAAAAATAATAGCAGTTTCCTTCACTAACAGAGATAATGACATGATTGCAAAAGTTTGGTTAACGAAATCACATGACGCAAATGATGTTACTTTTCTGAATTTCCCATGCCATCCATTACAGAAGTATTAGAACTAAAAAAGCATAACTTAAAAACACCTAAACCAATACTGAACAGCACTGTTCAGTAAAGCATACGAATATTAAACACCCTGCCTTAGACATACCAGCGAACTAATTCAGCTGTAAAATGCTCAGTCTTATTGAGCGGAGAGATTCTTTAATTAACACGTTAATGCTCTCTCCATCCCGATTGCACTGAGATATCTGCCGCGTCAAATCAAAAGGTATTATCTAATGCACAGCTCGTAATATATCTACATATTTCCCACATTAGGCACATGAGCTTCTTCAGATGCAGCTGCCTCAATTGGGCACCATTCAGAAGTATACAACCGCTGACGTCCCTTGGTTGTGTACAATTCCATTTTCTATTACCATGAACACCCTTGATTCGACTTTAACTTCCGAACAGGAGAACAACAGAGCGCTTTCTTTCTGTAGTGTATTTTCTAGCGTCCACCTCTTTTTCCGGGTGTTGTTGACTTTGCTGAACCGTTACTGAATAATAGCTTCGAGCTCTGAAAAGTGGTCGTTAGCTCCCTGAATCACCTAGACTGGGTTGTTCAGTCAGTAGTGTCGAACTCAGAACCGAGAGGTAGGGTCATTCGCCTTCCAAGATTTATAAATGATTACCACTCTGCGGAAAGAAAACAGGGAACTACACGCAATTTTTGCCACATAATGCTGTCGACCATGCCTTTAAAAAGCGATACCTCAGGATGATGGCACCGAAATTGGGATCCGTGTCCCATCATTAACTTCGCGAAATGAAGAACGCCAAAAACCACTCCATCGTGAAAGCGTCAGGATGACCAACGTTTAAACGTTACAAACTTTCCTTCCTTTCCTGAATCCGCAATACACTGACTAAGCAATAAACTAATGCTCAGCAAAATTCAGTAGAGGTCTCATGAACGCCAAATAAGGACCAGCACAATAGACGCATTGGAAATTTCCTCATGAAGATGCACATGTCCTATTGGTAAAAGTTATATGGGCACTTACGAGAAAAAACACTTCTGTCAAGCTTACTATTTCTTTTCCGGGTCGCAATCGCTAAGCTTGTTCAAAACGTTGATCTCGAGTTTTGCAGCCTCACGATACTTGGCTACATTCTTAATTATCTTCAGCGCAGCCCTGCCGAAGCCGTTTGCTCGCCGGTCTTCCACTTCGACAACCTTACCGAACGTCCCTTCTCCAAGCGTTTGAATAACCTCGTCTAAACAGGGGGTGTATACAAGCATGTGCGCAAAAACCGTACCAAACGACGTAATCAGTTTAAAATACGTTTTAAAGTTTAATAATTGTTTCTATACATGTAAATATATGTACATCTATCTTCAATGATGTCGCCCGGTTTGTACACCAAGTGACCCTCGTCATCATCGACGACCAAAGGACGCGACTGTTGAAGTTCCTTCGAACTGTACTGCGACTGGTGGCTTTCCGCGGTCTGAATACGTACACATATGCAAAACGACAATATGAAGGCACGTTAATCGAAAAAATCAAAAAATGCACAACGCCGAATGTCAGATTATCTATTACTTGAACTGGCAGCGATTAAGCACAACACAGTGCTACGTGTCGCCAATTGCCAAAACACCGTATTATATACTACTTGCAAAACTTGAATAACTAAAGCTGAATAAAAGAAATGTGAAACAAGCCGATTTCCGCACGAAATACAAGCGTCATCTGAACGCTGTCATCAAGGTTTTCTGATGTTTCTGAAAAAACTGGTGCTAATACTGTCCATAAACTGCACTTAAAATCTATGAAATGTGCAATGTCGAATGGTTTCGAAGCACTGTTGCGAGAGAGGAAACAAAGAGAGCAGCAGGTGACCATGAACAGCTACAGAGATCGATCGAACACACTTCGAAGGGACAGATTGATGCAAAGATATCTGACAGTTTAAGACGTATAGAACGTACGACAGGCAACTCAAGCCATAGATTATGTCCAGCGCAAGTTGAAGGAATAGGACTCCATAATATCAAAGCATGAATTAGAGACGTCATCCCTAAGGCAATATCTGCTGGCCATGACGGTGAATGGTGGGGCGCTGACAATTTTACAGGCTAACAGCCTGTGCAAATCAGAACTGCAAGCAGATGGAAATTCAAAAAATCACCAGGATGCAGAGAACACCGTATACCGTAATTAGTAGAACAGCCTCATAAACATTATCTTAGTAAACTCTGTGAAGAAACAGACATCCAGTGGACATTAACTGGCTATCATGACGAAGACTCCATAGCTAAACGGAAATCCTTCCCACTGCCGTCCAAGCTCTGTTACAGAATAAGAACTCATATAAAGGATACTGAACACGCAGCCATAATCAAAACGCAGAATGCACCAAGTGAAGGATGAGACCCTGAACCACATAATTTTCAGCTGCGAAAAGCTGGCCAATTGAAAATATAACGAAAGGCAAAATAACATCGCAAGAATAGTCGACCGGTATTTATGCAAGCGAGCCGCCTTACCAGTGGTAAAGCAATAATAGTAGTTGTAGGCAAAGCGAAAAGGTAGGCACAAAGCACTGATATAGCATGCCCAGTTAACAGCAGCGTTGTTATTGAGGAAAAAGGATTCTGAAATGTCCAGATGGAAATAAAATTGATCCGGATAGTAAAAGTGAAGTCATTTCTACGGTAATAAGTGCCCTCGGAGAAATAAAAAAAGACCATCAGCGCCTACTGACATCAGCTGATGAAGCGATTAAGGTCAGTAACTCGCAGAAGATGACCCTGTTAGGAAGAGCCAGGAGACTGAAAAGAGTACCATAGTTCCGCGATGCTTGGTAGAGGTTTCGAGCTCAAGTGATATTCATACCACTAATGTTATAAGTCATCGAGTGTGATTGAAATGAAGAATTATATTAAAACTGCAGATGCTCTAGGAAGCGGTCGTGCCGCGACAGTTACAAACGTCTTGCCCTACCATCAAGTGATGCTCGCCCCACCATCCACCGATCACAAACGTGTTTGCATCTATATTTTGGACAAACGTGAAGTTTCATTCATTTTCAAAATCTGTCATTTTTCCCGGTTCCGGTCCGCTGATAAATGGACAGCCAAATGATGCAGATTATGAGGAAAAACAATGAAACTATATAATCGAGACATCTGCTATGCAGTATACGCTAGATTGTCTTCCCTGTGGCAATGCGCTAAGTTCGCCCTGCGAGTCTTTCGTATGGAATCCTCATCACATTACCAAACCATTACAATTCTCGTCCTGCGACTTAAAGAAGGAACGGCTAGCAAGGAGAGGGTATCTGGAATTGCCACATTCTGAATTATGTAGTCTCGTCATACCAACAGTCGTCTGAGTAAACCTCGTTTAACTAAAGATTTCTGATCTATGTCTGAAAGCAGCCAAATAGTGACAGCCAATAGCGACGCAACAACGATGGCACACTATGTTTGCTAGCGAAAATATCAAAGCAACGCTGTTCCATACGTTGCACTCAAACTTTTCGGAGGAGAGAATGATCGCCCTGCGGCGAAAGCGCCCGTCGCCTGTGCTGTGTATTTTACAGCACTGATTGGCACAACACAACGCCATAAGAAATCAGATTCGAAAGGTACAGGGATGACAGACATACGGGTGCATGACCATAGACGCTCGCTACTCGACAATTCGTCAATCACCAGGCAACGATGCAGCTGACGCGTCTTGGAACAAACGCTTTGCCGGCGAGGGAGGTACCGCCTCGTCCGGTGATCGTCTCCTTGCTTCATCGTTTTGAAAGGTCCTTGTTTTCGTGCTGGCGTGAGTTAAAATTACGCGCGCGTCCGGCACCGCTGTTAGCGTTTTGCTTCGTTACCACCACACTGCTGTT